TTGTGTGACCATAGGCACATATTTCACTTCTATGAACTTCAATTTCTTCATCTGCATATTGGGGATTCACTCGACAAAGTTGTAGTAAGGCTCAGGTGAAATAAGGTTATGTAAAATGTTTTGCAGTCTTTAACTGAAGTAGAATATTATATTAAATTGGACTAGCCACATTTGACTTTTACAGTTCCTTGGACTCAGGGATAGTTCAAATGATTCTCAAGATATTGCTAACTAATCAATTTTCTTTTCTTTTTTTTTTGGGGGGGGGTTGGTGGGAGGGGTGTGGACCTGTGATTTCATTGGCATAGGGAAGTTTCGGGTGAGGAAATGCCCTCTATCCATGCATGCCAGCATCTGCTCTGTGCCTTACAGACCCAGAGAATTGCCTGGGCATATTGAGAAGTTATACGATTTATCCAAGGTCACAAAGCCAGTCTGTGTCAAAGGCAAGGCTCGAAAGTTTTCCTGACTCTGAGGTCAGCTCTCCATTTACACCATGCTGCCTCCCCAACTAAGGACTATGTTGAAAACTGTAAACCATCAGGCCACCTTATGAAAACTATGTAATGGTCATAGTGTTTGTCTCCAACACTGAGGGGCTTCCTGGCCCTTATGAAAAGAACTCAGAATCTAACAAGTCACACTGACTAAATTAAATCCATTCTCCTCCAGGTCTAGGGTGGGAACATCACTGGAAAAAGCAAAAATTTTCTCTCATACAGCATTAGCACCAGCTCTTAGTGCTACCTTTTAAATTATACTCCAAAAAGAATGCACAGCTTTCATTCAGTGCTAATTAGAAAAGATACAAGGGCCCTCAGCATTACTGGAAGAGTAACTTAGCCTCTCTCTCTCTCTCTCTCTCTCTCTCAACAATGGACTACAATGTCATGGAAACAGAGCAGTAAGGAACACATTTTGTGCCTTGGGGAAAAGGCAAGTGGTAACAGCTTGAAGGGAAGAGATAATGTGGGCAAATATGAGGCCCCTGGGACCGTTTCAGGGGCAGGAAGTAGCCCCCAAAATGATGGTTTGGCACCTTCTAAATTTCCTGCCCTTAGACAAAGACCTGATGGCCCTGCCCTGGTTATCATTATGCCGTAGAATGATTAAGATGGTTGTAGATCCATGCTATGAATCTCCACAGGATAGGACAGTGAAATGACTGTAACCTCCAGGGTCAGAGGACGTGGGTCCTAATACAGAATCTGCCACTTAATCCCTGTGTAACCGTGGTCAAGTTACTTCACTCTCTGAGCCAATTTTCTCATCTGTAAAATGAAGGGGTTGAACAAGATAATAACAGCTAGCATTCATATAGCTCTTCAGGGGCTTGCAAAGTGCTTTGCATATGCGCTCTAAGGTCCACCTCTATGATCTTATGTGGCAATGTCCCTCCAGACAACCAGGACGAAATCTGACATTGAACCACTATAAGAAAATTTATGCAAAGGCTCAAAGAGTAAAAAGAAACTGTAAAATCTGGTACCAAATTCAATTAATTTGGGATCAAAAACCCCAACAACTTCAGCCTATGAAATCAAGAAAATGGGGGGAAATTTTAAAGAAATTTTCTGTATTTAGAATCCAAAAAGAGGATTTGCTTTTTCTAAGTACTACCCAATGACCCTCCATAGCCTGGAATTTAGAAATCAGAATTCTAGGAATGGCTCCACTGTTGACTTTCTATCCTGTCATTATATCTTTTGTCAGTTAATTTCTCTGGGATTCAGCTTCCCCAATTGGGTAGGAAATAACATTCATCTTTAGATTCCTTCTTGGACTTTTCTGGTAAAATAGCCAAAAAGGAACATAATCATGGGTAAAAGCAGAAATTATCACAATCTTATCAATGTATCCTTTCTCATTCCATTTTCTATTCAAAATTTAGGGATTTTGCTCAACTCTTTTAGAATCTCTTAGCTCAAAAATGTGCCAAGAATTTTTTACAGCATCATACACTTTGGAACAAAATTTGCATAATCTTTTTTGTTTTTTTTTAATTCATCCAGAGGCGTATGAAATAACATTAATATAAATGAAAATAACATTAGAAATAAACTTAACTTTGAGTAACTGTAATGACCAATCTTGATTCTAGAGAAAAGATGATGAAACTTATTTCTCCTCTTTCCAAAAAAGATATAGGGGAGCAAATGGGTGCTGAACGTCAGCTGCACTGTCAGTCAAGGTCACTGTGCTGAATGGGTTTGCTTTACTGTCCTTCTTTGTTATAAAGGTGGGTTTCTGGAAATTCAGGAAATAAAGTGAAGTAGGAAATGACAGTAAAACAGATGACATCAATGAAGCTTAATTTTAAGAAAGAAAACCCATGTAGAGAAATAGATTATAAAGACTGAAATAGACACTTACTGAAATATGTCATATTTAAAAGCATGGAATAGTGGGTCACCCCTGGAGTCGGGAAAACCTCTGTTCATGTCCTGTCTCAGACACAAAGTTGACTGTGTGACCCCTGACAAATCAGAGAACTTCTCAGCGCTAAAGGTAGCTCTCCCAAGACTGTACATGGTACAGATGTCAGTTCCAGATGTGCATCAGACAAGGGAGTTTTCACCCCATGAATTCCCTACACCAGTAAAAGCAAGGACTGGACCAAAAAAAAAAAAAAAAAGAAAGAAAGAAATAGGGAGTTTTTTAAGCACTCACCCTCAACAGATGAAACACGGCAACAGTACATTTATAGCCAAATTACAATTTCAGTTGAAAAGTAATTCTGCAAAGAAGCCAAGCCCCAAAATGGAATAGTGCAGTGAGGCAGGCAGACCTCGGGGGTGTTTCCAAGTACCAGCTCACAGATTAGCACTATGACAGCATGTATAGCACAGAGCTCTGCTGAGAGAGGCACGGAAGCTAAGTCATCTGGCAAACGCCACCAGCAGAGCTGGCGCCAGGGCACGCTCCATGCCCACTTGTGCTACAGCTAGAGAATGGCACTCACTTGGCAATGGTTTTCCAACAAGCAGACCAGAATATTTTTGGTACCAAGAGTGTGATGACTTGGCTAGCAGAGCCAAGTGACAGGACCATCCAGAGGAAGTGAGACAAGCCAGCCAGCTGGCCAGCTGAGGCCCACTGGCAGCAAGTGTGGAACAAGTTGGCCAGTGGAGGCAGCTTTGACTCCATTTTACAACAAATCCCAAAGAAAAGCAAGGTTCAAGAAAATCAACCTCATTTCTCCATCTTAGAGATAGATCATATCAAAATCTCTGAAACTGTAGAAGGGGACCAAGGGGTTGAGAAGCACTATTTGAGACAGATGATAGAAGTAAAACAAAAACAAACAAAAAACAAGGAAGAAAATTTGAAGGAGATCCAGTAAGAAATCTGATTCTATTGGGTCCTTGATGCTAGGTAGCTATGGTGTGGTGGATATATCACAGCACGAACTGTGGAGTGAGGGGCCCCCAGCTCATGGTTCATATCCTGGCTCTGTCACTTACTAGCAGTGTGACCTTGGAAATGTAACTTAACCTCCGTGCATCTCAGTTTCCTCATTTCCAAAATGGGGATAATAGCATCTACCTTCCAGAGTTGTTGTGAGGATCAAACGAGATAATATTTGTAAAGCGCTTAACACAGTGCTTGGCATATAGAAGGGAGGGAGTATGTTTGTACCAGTCACCCTTCCTAATGGTGAGAGACTGAGCTTGTTAGAAAAAAAACAAAACAAAACAGATACCTTTGGAAAGATCAGGCTAATCCCCGGCATGTTCCTTAAATGGCTACATTCCAGCTTCCTCCTTCTCTAAGTGCCCCATTCACCAAGAGAGGCACATTTCCTCCCTTCTTTTAAGCCATCTTTTGGGGCTGCTTACATGCTCCCTGAGTTCCACAAGGAACTGCCTCCCTACAGGGAAGAAAAACTCACCAACATTCAGTCTCACTCATTGAGTGGTACTTAGGAAAGAAACAGCCAGGAGACAGAAATCCTCTGTCTGCACTGTATAAACAACAATAGGTTATTTATTTTTCTGATGATGGAATCCAAAGAATTGTAATTGGGGAATTTGGGAATCTTTTCACCATACTGAGTACAGAAGGCACATGCCACTTCAGTAGCAAAGTGGTCCTAGAGCACATCTGGGATCCTGTTAATGAGCCTATTCCCTCCAATGTGAAATGAGATCCTGCAAAATACAATCTAAAAGGTGCCTACAATTACAAGAGGTTAAATGATTTACCCAGGGTCACTGGGCTATTATGTGTTAGAGGACAGCCTTCCTGACTTCAAGACAATGCTGTAAGCTGGTAGAAGAGGATCAGGGGCCAAAAATAAAATAAAAATAAAATTGGATACTGGCTAAAAAATCGAGAAAATGATCAGAGGAATAGATTGGGTACCCAGCATACAGAAGCAAATGAATATAGTAACAGTGTCCATTAAACCCAAAGATTGCAACCACTAAGGTAAAGATTTATTATTCAACAAAAACTGTTGGGAAAGCAAGAAAGCAGGCTGGCACAAATTGGATTTAGACTAAGATCTCACATTGTATGCCACAATAAACTCCAAGGGGCTACATGTGCTAGATATTAAAAAAAAAATCATTTCATAAGGAAGTTAGAAGAACAAGAAAGAAAATGCTTTCTGCAGCTATGGATAAGGGAAGAGGCCATAACCAAACATGAAATAGAGAGGATCACATTAGATAAAATTCACATTTCTAACAACATAAAATTGTAAAGTTTTTACACAAATGAAACCAATGCAATTAAAATTGGAGGGGAAACAAGAGAGGAAAATATTTGTAGCAATTTTCTCTGATAAAGTTCTCATTTCCAAGATGTAAAAGGAATCTATTCAATTATTTAAGAATGACAACTATTTTCCAGTAGATAAATGGTCAAAGGATATGTACGAGCAGTTCTCAGAGGAAGAAAGCCAGGTGAAAATGCTCCAACTCACTTTAAATAAATAAATGCAAAACCCCTCCCCCCCAAAAACAAAAACCCAACCCTCGAGTTCCATCTTTTACCTATCAAACTTGTAAAGATGACCAGATGAGGAAATGGACAAATGTTGGTGGGGCTGCAGGAAAACAGGCCCATCAGCACACTGGTGGTGGATCTGCAAACTGGTCCAGCCATTCTGAAAAACAATTTGCAAGTATGTTCCCAAACATGACTAAACTATGCATACTATTTGACTCAGCTATACCTTTTTTAGGCCTATACCCCAAAGATATCAAAGAAAGAGGAAAAAGGTCCTAGACGTACAACAGTATTTATAGCAGCTCTTTTTTTTAAGTAGTAAGAAACTAAGAGAATGCCCAAGTGGGGAATGAGGCTCAAGTTATGGTGTATGAATATAATAGGATATTACTCTACTATAAGAAATAATGAAATGGATAGTTTCAGGGAAACCTAGGAAGTAAGCTGAACCAATAAGACAATTTATATATTAACAAATACAATGAAACGAAAAACAACCTGGAATGACTTAAGAACTCTGATGAATGCAATGATGAACCACAACTCCAGATTAAGCCCCAGACCAAGCACTGGAGAGGCAGCTGAAGTTGGGTGTGCCCTCGACTACATGGTTCCAGTAAGAGGAGGACCATGAGGCAGAGCAGGAGAGTTCCTGAACCCTACCTCTTTGAGCAAGAAGAGAGAGAAAGGGAAAAGAGGGGAATGCCAACCTTAGAGTTATCTGTCACACCTAAGGCCAAGAATTCCAAAAACCCAGCTTAGTAGGGAAGTGGAGCTCCTGGATAGTACCAGGCTCCTGAGGAGGATAAGATGGCACACGTACCCCAGGGTTAAAGAACAGCCGAGGCTAAAGCTAAGACACGGGGAGAGCAGAAGACTGCTGGGGTGTTCCTGTAACTGCTACTTTGGGGCACTGATGTGCCTCTAAGGTGCTGGGTTTCTTGCTTAAGACTTCATAAACTTTATTCAAATGCCACAGATCCAACAGGAAGAGAGTTGCCACTCTTAACCTGAGTCCACTTTCCTTCGCATGGAAAGTCAATCTTAAGAAGGGTAACTGAAAGCTTGGCGCCTATATGGGGGGTCAAGGGTGAAAATGGAAGTCACTGTTATGTCAAGGGATTATCTGTCTGGCCATCTAAAACCCATTTCCTTTTTAGGGGGCTTTTGCCCTTCTGAGGGGAGCTCAAGTCACAGGGCAATGCTATGAGTCTGGGGGACTGATCAGGTCAACGAGGAAAAGGAAGAACTCAAAGAAGAAAGAGAACTGTGCCAACTGTTTACATGCTACGTAAGAGTCCTCTATGTATTTTCTGTGGGGTAACCCAATACCCATGAGTACTTGTCCAGGAAGCAGAGGTCCTTTTAACCACATATGTGAAGATCTGTACATAAGTTATGCTTGAGCTGTATTTAAAGGCAGTTACACGTAGAGATAAAATGAGCCAGAGAGAGAACAGCCTCTCAGATTCTTCCCTTACTGCTCTCCATCAACTGCAGCAGGTCCTTTAAAGCGCAGAGTTTGGGGTGCCAGGGCATAGATTCCATAAACAAGTGAGGGATTTATTTATTACCCTCTCTTCACTTCACAGGAGTAAGCTCCGTCAGATGCCCAGAAAGCTCAAGTCCTCCATCATTGCGCCTAGGTAGCAGTTATAGGCACATCCTAGTAGTGCAATGTCTGAGTCTTCTGCTCTCCCTGTGTCTTAGCTTTAGCCTCGTCTGTTCCTTAACCCGAGGGGACACGTGCCATCTTATCCTCCTCAGGAGCCTGGTATTATCCAGGAGCTCCACTTCCCTAGTCAGCTGGGTTTTTAGAACTCTTGGCCTTGGGTGTGACACATAGCTCTAAGGCTGGCATTCCCCTCTTTTCCCTTTCTCTCCTCTTCTTGCTCAAAGAGGTAGGGTTCAGGAACCCCCTCTGCTTGTCCTCGTGGTCCTTCTCTGCAGGAGCCATGAGGCTGAAGGCATATCCAACTTCAGCTGCCTCTCCAGTGCTGGGTGCAGGGCTTAATCTGGAGTTGTGGTTCATCATTGCCTTCATCAGAGTTCTTGAGTCATTCCAGGCTGTTTTTCATTTTATTGTATTTGTTAATATATAAATCGTCTTACTGGTTCAACCTTTGCCATGCCTCCATGCCAGCTTTATAATCTCATTTATGACTTATCTATTTCCTCTTTTTGTTCAGACGATCTATAGGACTTTCCCACAACAATGTCTCCTCTTTATTTCCTTCCATTAATCTTCATCGAACTGAACCCCCATATTACTACTCTACTTCTCCCACCTCCCCTCCACCACCTGGATGTCCTCACTTGAGAATAGCTTCTTAATCTAGAAAACCACTATTCCCTTATCTGAGTGCATGGGTTTAACTGGTGGCTCCTCTCTTGGATTTTGTCTCCCATGAATAGCTGGGCATCTTTGACTATTCTTCTTTCTAGGATGTAGCTGCTATCTCTGTTATCAAGATATGTGTTATCAAGATTTATATATATAATATATGTATATGTATATATACATACATACATACACATTTATATATTATATATATAAGAATGAATGAATATGAGATACACACAGGAAGTTTTCCATCTTCTTCTCCCTAATCAGTTTAAAACCCTGTAAGTTATATTTGTAAGGCTCCAGGCCAAAAGAAAAAAAAAAAATCAGTCCTCAATGGGTGAACTCCAGACCTGGCCTGAAACTCATTATTCCTGTATTTTAATCTATGACCAAGAAATCCAAATACCATTCCCAGATGCCATCTTCCTAACCAGCTGTCCACTCTTCATTCTTCTGAAGCCTCTGCCTTTTATGGGCAGAAGTGATGTAAACACCACATGTGCCCCTTATGTGTGTTTGGTTTCTTGCTTAAGACTTCATAACCTTGAGCAGCGTTTTCTAGATTCCCTCTAGTAGTATCATCTGTGCCGACATAAGTCACCAGAGGCGTGTAGTCTGGCCAGGTCACGACCATACTGCTTTCACTGGGTCAGCTCCTCTGTAGAAGTCATGTCTGCAGTTCTCCCTCCTGAGCATCCTGTCTCTGCCTCTATGAGCTCCTAGGCTTCATCTCTTCAGGGCAACCTGCTGGCCATATTGGCTTGTCTGCGAAGGTACGCTTTGCTCTAAGAAGGGAAGGCTGGGAAGGCTGTGGTGCTAGCTGAGGCTATTAACTATCATATTTAGCCAAGGGAGGCTAAACAAAAGCTAGTCTTAGCCCTGAGGCTAAGATTTAAGTCTTTTCTTTGAACCGTCTGTGTCTGGACTGAATTGCAGCCTATTGTCCTGGACAACCACCTAATTTACAAATGGAATTTATTTTCAACCCCTATTTTTCACCCCAATGGAGATCCTGAGCCTTGTCTCCAACGCATTTCAGCATTCTCTGCCAAAGAAATCCCGGAAGACCCATGAGGAAGCTGGCTAACAAGTCCACTCCCAAGATCTGTTTGGATTGTCATGCTTAAATGACCATGAACCACCACCTTCTGCTGCCTTTATCTGGTTATCTGTCAAGAACAAAAACCAAACCAAACAAAAAGCACTAGCTTGGGTGCTATGTGATGGCCAGCAGGAGGGGCAGTGTGACATGGGAAGATATGGGTTCAGATCGGCCTCTGACACATAGTAGATGTATAACCAAAGACAAGGTACTTAACCTCTAAACTGTCTTCAGCAACTCTCTAAAGCAAAGTAACAGATGAGTTGCTGGTGAGCATTGGTGGAAGGGATTTCCATTCTGGGAGTTACATATATTCAGGAAAATCCATATCTGGGCTAAATTAATGCTGCCCTCCTCCTTTCTCCCCCCAAAAAGATTCTGACTAGTGTTAAACTGCACTGTCATCCTATATTTTTTTTTCTGTTTTAATTATTCATATCACAATGGCATTATTTTCTATTTTTTTCCAAAGTAAATACGCCGCAAACATTTTGGCTATCCTGATCTCTCTACTTAAGGAAAAAGGGGTGGCAAATGGAGGTACCTTTAAAGAAAGATTAGCCTAGATCAATGGTGTCAAATTCAAATACAAGCCAGGCAACCAAACTCTACAATCTGATTCCTGTGAGTCACATACTGACTTAGAAAACCCCACATATTACCATTACCCATGATTTACTGTTTTTATTTATTTTGTTAAATATTTCCCAATTATATTTTGTTCTGGTTTGGGTAGCGCTCAGGAATGTTGACTGGGTAGTGTGTTACATTCCTTTGGCCTAGATGGCCTCTAAGCTTCTCTTCCATCTTTAGTTGCCTTGAGATTAGTTTTACTCTGGCAGTAAAATCAACAGCCTAAAAATGTCATTCACAGTCTATCTGTCTGAAATCCCTGTTGATCACCCTCAGTCTTACTCACTGTTAAGTCTATATCATCAGCAGGATAAGCATATGTATTTCACACATCTCAGTTTCCATCTGGCTCAGGCAAATTTATCCATTACTGATTCTTCCCTACAGGAATTGTTTGGAGAAGAAGATGTTTCAAAAATTCATATAATTTAACTTCAAAATGAAAAGATGAGACATTTTCATTCTATCTTAAGACAATCCAACACTCACACATGCCCCTGATAAGCTGTGAGACTTTTGAGAAGTCACTTCTACTTTCTGGGTTTCAATTTTCTGATCTATAAAATGAGGTTAGACAAAACATTTCTAAAATCCCTTTTAGCTCCAACATACTGAGTTCTATGACTCTTTATTGGGAAAAAGTTGTATTTAAAGCATTTTTGTCAGATAAAACCTGAAATTCACTAGGTAGTTTACACCTGAAAGAACTACCACGAATCCCTTTTTGTAAAAAAAAAAAACAAAAACAAAATAAAAACTTGGCATTATTATAGAATGCATTTTACCAGGAAGAATTTTTTCTATTTTAGGTTCATTTAAAGAAGACAAACGTTTTCTTGCAACCATCCTTTTTTTAATTTTAAGGAATGGGTTTAAATCCTTGCTTTGCAACACACCACCTACATGTAACTCGGTGTAAATCATTTAATCTCTCTCAGCTCCCTATTGCGTCCTGGAACAAATGCGCACACACACACACACACACACACACACACACACACACACACACACAC